GGGAGGGGGGATCAGACCCTTTTGGAGTTCTAAGAGGGCAGAGAAATTCTAGAACTATGAGCTATAGTCTTCCCTAGAGCTGGAAGTTTCTGGAAGCAAAGGAAATGCTTTTCCAACATTTGTGCTTACCTATCTATACTTTGCTCTGAATTACTAGACCTAGGCCAGGATTTAGCCTTTAAGCACTAACATAGATGATTATTTGTCTAGGGGATTAACATAGGACCTTTAAAAGACTTGTATAGATTTTTGTTTGGTTGGTTTTAGATGTTCCCCACCCCACCCTGGTCTCTCTCTCTCTCTCTCTCTCTCTCTCTCTCTCTTTCTCTCTCTCCAACAAACAGTACTTTGACAACCCAGTATCTTTCCATTATGTTGTTTTGTATACCGTGTCTATCTACGAACTTTTACATTTCCATTATAATAAAGTTATCAATCCATCATAAGTGGAAATTTTTAACACAGGAGCGTGCTCCTGGAATGTTAATGTCCATGAACATCAGAGCTTGTGGTCATTGCCCCCTCTATTATCCCAAGAGATTCTCTATTATCTAATTAAAAACAAAACAAAACAATACAAAACTTAATCCAATCATGTTCCTTGAAAAGTGAATCACATACATTTCTGCTGACGGAAGTCAAATGTTTTTCACCTGTCTCATAGGCTATGCTAAATTTGAGCTCTCACTGCTGTCTTAAAAACAGCTGAGTTTCTCCCCCTAAAAATATCAGTTTCTTGCAGAAACCCCACTGGCCACTGGGAACAAAACGTGGAACACTTGAATACATTTCTTGGCGAGGAACTCACTCCAATGACTACTTAGACCTTGGCTCTCATTATTTTATTACTATTTCCACCTTACTGCAGTATGACAACCAGCATGCTGATCACAGGAACTGTGCAAAATAGACTCAAAAGGGCTCAGGAAGCAGACACAACTGCAGCTTCCAACACATCCCTGACCACGATACCTTGGCCTGCCACTCCCTACACCCTAAAATCTAAAGGCCCTCCCTGGGTGGACGGCTACACTTACAGTACTCAAGGATGCCTGCTCACAGGTCTGCACTTGAACCAGAACCCTTAGGGACTTGGAGACGGTGCCTTCCTCTTGCTCCTCCTGTTTCCTCTCTGGCTGGATGGCCTTTCTGCTTCTCTTCCCTTCCAGGATGCTCTTGACATTTTAGACAAAATACCAATTGAAAAAAAAAAAAGAAAAGCTCATGTGTCAGGGGAGCTCCACAGTCCTGTTATACCCATGGGGCTCCACTCTGGTGTTGATTCCAAGATGCTTGAATAGCCCATGTAGGAAGCTTTCTGGCTGGCTGCCTATCATATGACTTTGGATGGACTTTTAGTCAAGGTTCCCCACGACTGACGTATTTTGGATTGGAGTAAAAAGGACCAGTATGTTAGGCTAAAGAAAATTAACCCATTTCAAATTCAGTCCTGAGATTGTTTTTTTCCTAATATCAATATCTGACATGGGGGTGGGCAGGTCTGGCACAGTAAAAGGAAGAGGTGAGAGCTGGACAGTGGATCACCATAGAGTACTTTCTTACATGCATGAGATCCTGAGTTTGCTCCCCTAAAAACAAAACAAAATTGAAAAAAAAAAACAAAACAAAAACAAAACAGTGAAACGAAACTCTCCCATTCCAAGGCTCCAATTACAAAACTCCCTCTGGGCCTGGCAAAGATTGCACAATCAGGTTTGAGTACTTCATGGCCTGGCTTCAGAGGCCTGTGGCCCTGAGTCAGGCTGGTCTCACAAGCAGTGCTGGCTCCGCCTACTAAGGGAACCAACTGGCTTCCCCTTCGGGTGGGAAACTCATCTGTACCCTCCACTCTTCCCTTACTTTCCTGTCTCTGCTGACTTGAGTGTAACATTGGTTTCTGGTTGTTGCTACAGGCTGTTCAACCTGAGAAGAAAGGGCCCTGGAAAAGACTGAACCCATAACAGAGGAAATGGAGGATCCAGAACACCCAGAAGTAACTCATGGTAAAGGCATGGCAGAGGCAAGGCAGAGGCTGTGAGGCCTAGGAAGGGCCAGAGCAAAACTGCATGCTGGGTGAAATGAAGCCCAGGAAACCAACTCCCTCTATTGACAGGTGTTACGTCTGATGCGCAGCTGTACTTGAGGGGAATGAATGGTCCAACCCAGGCATTAATGCATATTTCCTGGAGAAAGCAAATCCCAAGTCTGTAGTGTGTTTGTGCCCTTGTTAGGCAAATCCCAAGTGAGTTGTACAAATGTGCTGACTTCCGAGGATTTAGCCAGAACAATGACTTGGGTCACTGGAACTTAAAGCGGATATGAGCTATAAGGAAAGACAAAAATAAATGTTTCTGTGTGCAAGGGGAAAGAGACTAGCAAAGCTGACTGCACTTCACTCGTGGTTTTCAAATCCAAAAGCCCATTCATTCAAACCATCAAAGGCCTTTCCTGACAGTGGAAGTTACCTAATCATTCCTGGACTGATGGGCTGGTTCACAGAACTTATGTCTCTGGCTTTTGCCACTCTGTTTTCCCTCTTGATCCAGTTCTCCCAAGGTTTTTCACCCTAAGCATATGTGTTTCTTGGGTTTAGATAGGTGCATAGCCTCTGACTTAGCCTGACCAATATTGGCACAAGAGGGTCCAGCCTCCAGGCAGCCCTCAGGTACCACTTCACAAGGCTGATGGTGTCAGAGACCCAGATCTTCACAGAGGTGGTTTGCAGGCAACAGTGCCTCTGAAAGATCCTCTTTCCAGGTTGGTATGACAAGGTTGAAATGGGTCAGGGAGCTAAGGATATTGGTTCCATCTCAGCTCTAGGCCAGGACAGGAAGCACAGGCGGACAATATGATGGGATTTGGGGGTGGGGCAGGGAAGCAAATGTTTAGAATTAAAATAGTCTGGCAATAATTAGGCTAGGCTCTGTAGAGTAAACTGCAGAGAGGATACACTGGGGGTTAGGAAGAAGTGGAGACTATAATGAGAGGGGAGAGGAAGCACAGGGGAGGGAGGATGGGCAAGAATGGCTGTCCTGGACCGCTGGGGAACAAGAAGTCATTTACAGTCAAAACAGGCTCAAAGATTTGAGCCAAGGTTGACTAGGAGATCGGTGGTTCTAGGAATGGGCAGGGGGGAAGTTGAAAGAAAATGGTGATTTGTGAAGACTAGAAATGAACCTGAATTGCTTCTAGAAATCCATGGAGAATCCTACTGATTTGGGGAGACAGAAGCCTGGGACCAAAGATGGAACTGGGCCTTAACTCTATGTGTAGACAGGAAGTCCTTTTAGATAAGTGTGGACTCTGTATTCAAACCCCAACTCTGCCACTCATAAGCCACATGACTATGGTAAGATCTGTGATGTCTCCATCTTAGGGTTCCTCACCTGTGAAAATGAGCCCAAGTAATATCTACTCATAGGGCTACATGAGCAAAATGACGTATTTCTTGGAAAGCACTAGAAACAGTGCCTGACTCACAGTAAGCACCAAATTGAGGTTCAACGCAATTATTACCATCGTTATTTTGGTCCTCTTTACTAAGCCATGTGGGCAGGTGAAATTACAGGCAGAAGGCAGTGAACTAAATGAAGAAAGCACAACGAAGCAGCATCCACATTAAGGAAGTGCATTTATATGATGTGGTTTTTTTCCTTCAAAGACTCCTTCGAACGAGAGCTCCCAGGGCTGGTGCCTGGAGTATGTGTGAAGAATCTGGTAAAGGTTTTTGAATCTGTAGCCGGCCAGCCGTGGACCACTTTAACATCACCTTCTACGAGAACCAGATCACCGCACTCCTCGGTCACAATGGAGCGGGAAAAACCACCACCTTGTGAGTTGTCTGGCAATGAGACTGACTTGCCATATCATCCTATCATAAAATATATTTTATTTAATATTCACAGGAAACACTGGGAGGGAGGTGCAGTCAGTTTATTGTCTCCTTTCTGCTGGAAAAGTGAACATTCCAAGAGTTTAAATGACTCCTTAAGCCACCAAGTTTGATGGGTTGGGTGGGTGGGAGCCAGGTCCTCCCACCACAATTACCTCTTGTTTCTAACACTTTGAGTCCCTTTCTGAGCCCCAGTCTCTCCCACCTCACTGTCATCCAAAATGAAGAAAAAGTCCTGGCCATCTCCTGCCGGGGTCTGTAGAACACATCTGTTTTCAAGGAGCACTTCTTTTCTCACTAGTTATCAGGTTGGCTTCAGTGTTGACATGGGGCCTCGGATGAGGCTTGGTTACAATTCTGAGAAAGCATGGAGAGAACAGTAGGGTAGCTGCCAGGCAACTGAAGGCCAAGTTCAGGGAGGAGACAGGGCCCTGTGTGGACTTAGCTGGGGGCAAAAAGTGCTCCCACACTGCTATGCGATGCCCCCATAGTTCTCTAAGGGGCCTGAGCGCCACCTGCTGAACAGAATAGAGCTGTGAATGGTTCCCATGCAGGCCTCTGGCAGGGTAGAAAGTGGTGGAGGGGCAACAAACCATGTGACAGTAGTCTTCAAATTCTTGGCTTCTTGCAGAGCTCCAGGAAGGAACAGCAGTGTACACCCTGCTTTGGAATGTGCTCTTGGGCCCGACAGTGTGAATGGAATGTGGGGCCGGTGCCATTATACTTGGTTCTGTTTCCCTCTAGTGGTTATCAACAGAGATTTCAGCTTCTAAATACAGGTTCAGGGAGCCTGAGATTTTATCAGAACTGGGGACAGAGCTGGATGTGGCGACCGTAGGTCTATCTCCTGGCTAACTAATATGGTCAGAGGACTGGAGGCTCTGTTCAAGACCCCAGGACCTCAAAGACAAACACATTACTTCATCCAGTACAGAAATTCAACTTCCCCTGGGGGTTGAAACACAGTGCTTCCTAATACCTATAATAACATTTTTGAGTTTCATTTCACACTAGTGTTGTTCTAAATACATTTTAACTCCCTTAATCGCTACAACTACCCAAGCAGGTGGGAATCATTATGTCTCGCTTTATTAAAAAAATAAAATAGGGGCTGGAGAGATGGCTCAGCAATTAAGAGCACTGACAGCTCTTGCAAAGGACCTGGGCTCTATTCCCAGCACCCACATGGTGGCTATGAATTGTCCTTCACTCCAGTTCCAGGGGAATCCGAAGCCCTCTTCTGACCTCCGCGGCATTGCACGTAACGTGACTTACATACATGCAGGCGATACATTCATACACATAAAATAAAAATAATAAATAATAAAATAAAAAGCACAACCCTGCAATGGGCTTTTTATGTTTTGGATCCAAAGACACTATTGATGGTGATCCTATGTCTGACTATGTCAGGCAATCAGCAGAGGCATACTGAATGCCTAGGTGGGCTCAGCCTCTCACGGTCATCATGGTCTACCCAGGCTTGATAAAAGCAGCACCTGGCTTCTCCACATTCATGGAGCAAAACAGCAAGCCCTGCTCCAATTGATTGAGCTGCATTAGCAGCAGGCACTGTGATGGCTCAGTTAGGGGGTGTCTGAGGCTGGGAATCCTTGTGGCCCTTGGTGCTGGCCTCGGAACACTAGGAAGGAAGGAAGAGGCAGAGAAGGGAGGCAGTTGTCCTATGCATTAGGACCTGAATGTAGCTGCTAAGGCTTATGTGGGCCCCCCACATAAGGGTTCGATGCAGACCCTGGTGTGGGGCTGCCCTCCCCTGACGAGTTCTTAAAGACCTTCTCTTCTGCCACCAACCCCATGTTTGGCAGGTCCATCCTCACAGGTCTGTTACCACCAACATCGGGTACTGTGCTCATTGTGGGAAAGGACATTGAAACCAGCTTGAATGCACTCTGCCAGAGCCTGGGCATGTGCCCCCAGCACAACATCCTGTTCACCAGTAAGTGAACCAAGGAGCTGAGGCATCCTTGCACAAGGGTCAGGGCTCTGTGGTGGAGTGCTTGCCTAGTAAGTCTGAGGCCCTGAGTTCCATCCCCAGTACCACAGGGAGAAAAAAAAAAAATGTCTGTACCCTGTACCCTGTCCTCACCCCTGCCTCCAACACATGTGTTCTGTACAGCCCAACTCAGCAATGCTCTCATCTGGTTCCCCTGTTCAAAGCCCTTGTCCTGCTTACATGAGAACTGTCCCTCCAAATGTGAAGTGGTCTCTGCTGCTCAGAGGTGAGATCTCCCCTGAGAACTCCCAGTTTCTGAACAGGCCCTGACTCAGCCCTGAAATACTTCCTGGCAGGAACCAGAAAGAGGAGAAGCATTGTTCCTTTATTTTTATTTTTATTTTTTTAGCTCTGATGCTAAGGACTGAGTTTCCAGGGGGCCTTTCAAGCCTGCTTGCCCTTCTCTCTCTTTCTTTTTCTTTCTTTCTTTCTTTCTTTCTTTCTTTCTTTCTTTCTTTCTTTCTTTCTTTCTTCTTTCTTTCTTTCTTTCCTTTCTTTCTTCTTTCTTTCTCTCTCTTTTGTTTCTGTTTCTTCTTCCCTCCCTCCCTCCCTCTTCTCTCTCTCCTTCCCTCCTCTCTCCCCTTCTTTCTTTCCAATTGAAATGTGTTTTATTTCTTGTTTACAGTCATTGTGGGAGGGGGAAATGAAGGAGAGAAGATAGAAAAAAATAGCTGTCACCCAGAGCCACTCACTGTTAACACCTTCAGATATGTCTTCAGACGTTTCTCCCATGTCCGTGCAGACACACACAAAGACTTTAAAATTATAAAGGAGAATAAAACTACATGCGCAATTTTGTAGCCTGATTTTTAATGTGATTGCTTTTTAAACCCAAGGTATTGTGAATGTTTTTAGGTCATTACATAGTCCCTTAAAAGGGGATTTTTAATGTTTATATACTATTCCATTGTGTGAATGAACTGTTTAAATCATTTCCTCATTAGATATTTAAACAGAATTGACTGGATGTTTCACTTTTGTACCATAAATGATACCATGATGAAAATCTTGATGGCTAAATCTTCATATTCATCTTTATTTTCTAAGTCATTCAAGGAGAATTGCTGTTCTTGTTGTCCTGTCTCCAGAGCCTCACAGTGGCTGAGCATATCCTGTTCTATGCCCAGCTGAAAGGGAAATCCTGGGAGGAGGCCCAGCTGGAGACGGAAGCCATGTTAGAGTATACCGGTCTGCACCACAAGAGGAATGAGGAAGTCCAAGATCTTTCAGGTGCTTGGTATTAGAAGGAGACAGGACCACACATGGCACATCCTTTGCTTCCCAGTGTACCTGGGAGGTTGGGAAAGACTTGGAATGGGACTGCACCTAACACTTCCGTGGAGTCAAATGTAGGAAGTTTTCAGGTGGTCAGGTTCTAGGAGGCAAGGGTGGCCTTTTCTGCATTGATAAGGCCTGAACTCTGCTATGGCTTTAAACAGTGCAAGCACATCTAAGGTGGCGGCATCAAGCTGCTACTGGATTTAAGAGGCCTGACTATGTTACTAGACCTAGGCCTTTCTCTTCTCCATCCCACAGCCTCTATGACACTCTGTCCCCATCTTCCCTGTGCCTCCAGGTGGCATGCAGAGGAAGCTGTCCATTGCCATTGCCTTTGTGGGAGACTCCAAGGTGGTGGTTCTGGATGAGCCCACCTCGGGGGTGGATCCCTACTCCAGACGCTCCATCTGGGACCTGCTTCTGAAGTATCATTCAGGTGAGGGCCGCTGCTCAGTACTCTGTGCTCTCACTGAGGCTTTTTTTGGCACCCCATTCTCTCATACCTGGTGTTCTGTGACTTAGTACACTAACAACCATAACTGCACTCACCTGGGACTTCATCAGTGAATCCAAGTTCAAGTGAAAGCCTCCTGAGTGAGATTTTTACATAAACAGGGAGTCTTGATGGAGTGATCCATTTCTTTAAATGTTCCAGAAAGTTGGGTTGGGAATGTAGCTCAGTTGGTAGAGTCCAATTTCAGCACTGCATAAACCCATGCATGGTGGCATATGCCTGTAATCCCAGAATTCAGGAGGTGGAGGCAGGAGAATCAGAAGATCAAGATCATTCTCAGCTAAATAACAAGTTCAAGACCAGCCTGGGCTACATGAAACCCTTTGTCAAAAAACAAACAAACAAAAAAAACAAAACAAAGTTCTTTTAACCTGTAGTCCTCTAGTCTGGAACAGTGGACGTGACCTCTGCCCTCTGGCTAAAGGGACTCCTGTCACAGACAAGAAGATCTCTAGCTGTCACATGGCCATCTGGTATCAGCTGTGACAGCAGTGTGTTGGGTGTCCAAAAATACAGAGGACTGCCGAGTTGGAGATATCTCAGACTGGGGTAAAGGTACCCTTCTATCCCAGCACCTTCCAGATGACTCGCATCCAGAAGAGGCAGCAGGCCGAGCTCAGCGTTCCTACACACATGGCAGTGTGGTTCAGCCTGCGTGGCCTGGAGATCCCAGTCCTCTATTCACACTCTATTTCTCCACACCTTGCACTGAAGCTTTGCCAGGCCAAAATGCTCATTACTATCTTCTTTTAATAACAGTTCCATTTAGTAAGAAAGAGCTTTTTTGCGTGTTCTTTACAAAGAATACAAGCACAGTGTTTAATGGTGTGGAGACAGTACACGTGGAACTCTATAGATGCGGACTGATGTGATGACAGTGAGATGTGTGTTCCACACTTGGCAATTTATTTGGCTCACACCCCAGGCTCACTGAAGAGATACTGTATGTGACAGTGCTTTACAGTATTCAGGGTGCTAGGAAATGTTAGTTGTTATTATCTTGACACCCCTGCATTTACTGAAGAATTAGCTGTTTTGTTTTAATTGATTAACTATCGGTTCTGGGACCATATAACTTGGAGATTGCTGTATATCTTATCCAGGGCCTGCCTGGTGATGCCCCTAACACCTCTCTCTCCCTACAGGCAGAACCGTCATCATGTCCACTCACCACATTGATGAGGCTGACCTCCTTGGTGACTGCATCACCATCATATCTCAGGGAAGGCTCTACTGCCGTGGCACCCCACTCTTCCTCAAGAACTGCTTTGGCACAGGCTTCTACTTGACCTTGGTTCACAAGATGAAAAGCATTCAGAGCCAAAGAGGTGGCTGTGAGGTACCTATCTGCTCAGGGAAGGAGCCCGCCAAGTGAGAAGGAACATGCAGCATGGGGCTCCCACTCCAGATGTTTCTACCCGCTGGAGCTTTAACTCTCAGAATTGGCTGGTTTCTGGGACTATTTGCAGATTTCAGTAAGTGTGTTCTGAACCGTACTACTAAGATACTTCCCCCTGCCAAATATAGCTAGTTTTAAATAACCTGAAATTATTACATACCAGTGTCCCAAACTAAACCTGTAGTTTGATGTGCTATAAAAGAATCTTACTTCTGCAAGTTAGACTGTCTTAAGAACCATTGTTTAAGCTGCTTCTCCTTTATTCCAACATTCATGTTCCCTAAGAAAACATGAATTCTAGCAGTAAATGAAATAGATTGTCACCAGGGTTATTATACTGTAGCATTATTTACACCTCCTGTGTAAGTGGCTGCAGTGGGATTTTCTGTCTGGGGTAGGTTTTCACAGTCCAGTGATATCCACAGGAATGGGAAGGGGAACAGAACATGGTCATAACCTACAGCTGCCGCATGATTAATGATAAGCTGAGGGGATCCTTTGAGGTTCTGCGTCCCTCTGAGCCTGACTCACATACTCTCTGGGATAAAATCAAGCAGCTACACCCTCAAAATGCTCAGATGAATTAATAGATTAAATAACGAAGAAAGAAAAGTATTTTGGCCGCACTTGGTGGTGAGAGACAAACAGAGCAGTGGTGACAGCTGTTGGCATCACAGAGATTCTATCATCAGAGTGATGTGTATCTTATCAGTCATTCCTGTCCATTTGTTGTAGGGACCCTGTAGCTGTGCTTCAAAGAAACTCGGTTTCTCCACCAGGTGTCCAGTCCGCGTTGATGAGATAACTTCAGAGCAAATCTTAGACGGTAAGAGGTGGGCTGGACATACCTCAATTCTGGTCCCATGACCATCTTCAGTGTTGCTGGGTGTATCTTGTGATGCACTGGTGCAAAGAAAACACTTGTACTTTTGAAGCCCGAGGACATACAGTTGCTCATCTTTTACTTTGAGCCTCTTTCTCCGCTTCCTCCAGTCCTAAAGGGATTTAGAAGCCATGCACCTAATAGCCATCCCCCTTTAATAAGGATTCCAATCTTTGCTCACTCCCCACCTTTATGCATGTTAAGTCTTGGGACTCAGCATCCTCTTGCTTTGTGTCCTGATACAACCACTCCTAGAAGTGTGCCATGGCACCCTCTGGTGAAAAGAGGGTGATGCACATCTCTTAAGGTGAACTTTGGGAGAATGTGAGTTTGCAGGTGGGGATACAGGCATCTGTGTGTAATGTGACACATCCCTGACTCTCCCCTCAGCTTCCCAAGCTCCTATGGATCCTCCTCTGAATTTTAGAGTGTATTGACTCTGAGAGATATCACTGGAGAGATGCAGTAAATAAGCTCACTGTACAAGCACTTGTTTGCCTATTGGAGCCAAGCTCAGGGCCCTGAAAATGTACGAACAACTCTTTTCATTCACAACTAATATCCACAGAATTAGAAGCAGAACACCATACAACTTGTAATCCTATGCAGAAGCAAAATTAAACTTAGATACTGACCCACATTTATGAAGAGCTAAGCAGGTAAGTATCTGCTTATCAAAGACAAAAGATTTCTGCTTAGCCAAGTGTGATGGCTCTTTAATCCCAGCACAAAGGAGGCAGAAGCAGGTGATCTCTGTGAGATGGAGGTCAGCCTGATCTATAGGGAGCTCCAGGCCAGCTGGGGCTATAGGGAGACCCTCTCTCAAAAAAACCAAAAACAAATAAAAAAGGTTTCCTGTTTAACAGATTTTATTCTAAACCTAAAGAGTCTACTAAGTGAAATCTTATGGAACAAGAAAGCTAGACAATATTTATATGCTGTGCTTAAAACGTGAGGGGAAATACCTGAAGCCCACCACCAGTGTCCACTGTCCATTCTCTGTGCACTGGCTGAGCCTATGCTGAACACAAAGCACCTCTTTAAGATGATGTCTGCATCTTGTGCCTTGCTTATCTTGCTGGGGTGTCGCCTATGTTCCTGAAAATTCTTTCTAGAAATCTTAGTCAAGAAACTGATATTTTCCTTTAAAAAAATCAATACTAATGTGTTTAATTACTATAGTCCACCAAAATCAAGTTGGAAATGTCTGTGTTTGGCTGACATGATTTTTTCTTAAACTATGACTTTATTTCTATGAAAAGATTTTCTTTGTATTGAATAGGAAGGTGCAGTAAGTAGTTATGCCCCAAATAGGGGAGGGGAGATCACTTAATTCCTAGTTAGATCCTTGGCTGGCTTTTCACGCACACAGGCCCACATACCACACACACTCACAGACCTCCTAGTCAGGCAGGGATACTTCTGAAAGACTGACACATATTTAAGACACAATTCCTGGGAATCCAGTGGTTTAGCCTTCCAGCCTTCCACTTCCTTCCTAAGAGAACAATGAGCGTGACCCTCCTGCACTACTAGGGCACAGCCGCTTCCTCAAGTAGCGAACTCCCCAGTCCCTGCATGAAGTCATCCCAGAGCTAAAGACAATTGAGCCTGGTTTGCAGGTGTGATGCACAGCAAGCCTTCCATTCCAGGTCAGCACAGGATCGTGACCAAAAGCTCTAAAATTCCTCCATTTAGGTCGTTTTTAAAATAAAGACTCCCCTGGGTGATGCTGCTCTTTAGGAGAACTGTTGTGAAAGTCACACTAGATGGGCTTGAGGTGGTGCATGCCTATATTCCTAGCACTCAGGAGGCTGAGGTAGGAAGATTGTGAGTTTAAGGTCAGCCTGGGCTACATAGCAAGATCCATCTCAAAGGGAGGAGGCGGGGAGGGGGAGGGGGAGGATTCATGTTCTGAGTTTCTAGACTCCTTTTTCTTCTGACAGATTCTCAGAGTAACATGCTAGGAAGCCTGTTCAAGCACGTGCCTTAGTTATTTAAGTTAGGTTTTCAGTTTTAAAGTAACACATGATGTATATAAGATTCAATTCCCACTGCTCTCTTACTTTAGGCTAGCAAGTAAAAACTGCATGCCACCCACCCCACTCCCTGTGCCACCCTGCACTCTCTCCATGGCTTCCCAACCTCCAGCCATTGCTGGTTATTAAGCCTTGTTCTGTTTGAGGGGGCAGGTGCAGCCCAGAGGGAAATGGTATGGCTCTTAAACAGTCACACTCTTCAAAAGTGTGATTTAGGAAGGAGACTTCTCACTCAACGTTGTGCCCTGTTCTAGGCATGGATTCTGGGGAAGTCCTCTACAGCTTGCTTGGGTCAGACCAGGAGGAAGAAAACAACTTTGACTTAACTCCTTAGTTTCCAGTGAATTAGAATAAACAATAATGACTTCTTCCCTGAGCTCACTTTTGTGTCCAGCACTATAATGCTATATGTGCCTTAACTCCCCCAATCTTCACAAATAATAGTGAAGTGGGTACTGTTATTTTCCCCTTTCACAGATGAGAAACCACGGAAAGACCTGCTCAGTTTAGCATTCCTTGAGGCAATAGCACATTTGACCAAACAGAGGAAGAAATCGGACCTCTCTCAGTTGCATAGCTAGCTGGTAGAGTGCTTCTGCTTTTTTATAGTGTCAACTCAACTAAAAATAGACCTGATAAGTGTCAAATCTCTAAAAGAATTTGCGTGAGAGCCAGGTGTGGTAGTTCATGCCTGTAATCCCAGCACTTGGCAGAGCCAGCCTGTGCTACACTATGAGTTCCAAGCCGATTTGGGCTCCAGGATAAGACCCTGTCTCAACAAACCCAAAAGGAAAAAGAAGCAATGTAATTGTGTACATCTGTAATCCACCACTTGGGGGTGGAGGCATCAAGATCAGACTCAGCTAATGCATGAGACCAGTCTGTGCTACATGAAACTCACACACACACACACACACACACACACACACACACATTCAAAGAAAGGAAAAAAAAGAATGGGAAAAGAAAAGAGAGAATTGATGATGAATGATAAATGGCCCCTTGGAGATGGAAAGGAATAGGGGACCCGCGCAATCTCACAGTCTTCCAGGTTCTAGAACAGACTGGATAGAGGTGGTGGTGTTCATCTTTTTTCTTATCCTAGGGGATGTGAATGAGCTGATGGATGTAGTTTGCCATGTTCCAGAGGCGAAGCTGGTGGAATGCATTGGTCAAGAACTTATCTTCCTTCTTCCAAACAAGAATTTTAAGCAGAGAGCGTATGCCAGCCTTTTTTGAGAGCTGGAGGAGATGCTGGCCGACCTGGGGCTCAGCAGCTTTGGAATTTCTGACACTCCCCTGGAAGAGGTAAAGCAGGATTCCAGTTGCCTTCTTTCTGGTGCCAGAAGAGGCAGCTCTTTACAGAAGTCTAACACTAGAGCAGAATCTTATAAAAGAAAAAAGCCATAATTCTCCACCCAGCATAGCAACTATCTTCATTTTTGGCTGACTTTCTTCTGCCTCTGTCCACATGCATACATATTTTCCGTAGTTGTGGTCACTGTGTGCTTACATTTTTACATTTGTAGACTATGTCATTAGATAAAGAATTATAATGTTTTTCTCATCTGATGAAGTGGTGCCCAACAAAATGGAACTAGGTTTAGATTTTTCTGAACCAAATCATCTCTCTTTCATGTCTCAACAGATTTTTCTGAAGGTCACAGAGGATTCTTGTTCGGGATCTCTGTTTGCTGGTATGATACTAGAACATGTGGCTTATCCACCTCTTCCCCAGACTCCATCTCAAAACTCTATGGAAATAGTAACAAAGCAGCCAAATACTCCTTTACAGTGTCTGACTCCCAAATAATGCATTTTATGTTGTTGGTGCCTGTGAATGAGAGGAATGAGAAACTGAATTTGGCTGGGTAAGACCATTCTGGATGAATTCGGATTTATATCAAAGTCAGACTGGTAGGATTCTCCCACACTTCTTCTACACCCCCTTATTTCTGCCATGTCACTGTCATCTCCTCTCATCTTCCCCAGGCCTCTGGTTCATTCCTGTTTGGATGAGTGACAGCTAGTAGAGAGCCCTTAGAGATAATGTTGACAGTTAATACAACCCAGATACCAGCTAGAGCCTCCTGACCCCATTGAGATCAAGATAAAATCACCCTAAACCCTCAGTTAGTAGCCTATGGACTTTGAAATGGTAAGGACCAAATTCCTGTGGATTCTTGGTTTCTCTCTTCTACACGTGTCAGCCTGGGCTCTTCACTTGGTTCCTCACGTATTCACAAATCCTCGTGAGTGTTGTAGACATGTAGAGGGAGAACAGGTAGAATGGACGTGCAGGAGAGGTAACTTGTCCACCACAGCACCAATCACTTCTGATAGAACAAGAGGCACACACCTACTCTATTGAAATCTTCTCACTGGACCCTCCCTCCTGGTTATAGGCAAAGATGTGTGGCAATTCTCCTTTACTGCCTTGGGTCATTAGTTCGCTCCTCCTACCCAGTGTGGCATAGTATTTTCCTGTGCAGTGTTTCCTCCTTATGGGAGTACTGCTTTTCCCAGCTCCTACGATGATATAGTTTTTATCGAGCTTCTAAGTGACCAAGCACTTATCAGCCATGCATAGAATTACCAATGGCCACACATATGGGTACATATGTGCTCCAGCCTATGCAGATGGTTCATGTGGTATCCTAAAGAGACAGTCATCCTGGCAGAAGGGGAAGGAGGTCATCCTCTGGAGAAAGTAGGAGTAACCCACTATGTTTTCTCTTAAGTTTTTAGGTTTTCTTTTAAGTTTTATGTACACAGAAATTGAGTTCCCTCAACTCACCCAAAGTGAAAGATTTACATTAACCAAGACCAGAATGAAAATATATTAAACTACACCAGCAACTGTTCCAGATGCAAAAGTTAGGGACTTTCACCTGCACAGCATACTCACTTTTAATAATTAAGTCTTGTGTCAGAAGAGTAAATGAAACCTTAAAGACTGGCCAGCATGGGCATAGACTAGGGTGTTTCAGAGACCTGGGGTAGAGGTTAAGGGTTTAACCTTGGAGTGAGGTGGACCAAACATCAAACCTTAATTCTATAATTTTCTAGCTCAGTGGCTTTGGGCAAGGTACTTAGTCTCTTCATACCTCGGTTTCCCCATTTGTAAAATGGTAATAATACTGTCATCTGCCGTCAGAGTCATTGAGAGAATTAAGTAAGATACATACCAAGCCTTTACACAGCATGCGACCTGTGATCAAGACTCAGCAAGACCTTCATCATGGCATTTACACAAATCCCCTTACCTTAAACTTGTGCAGCTCGGTATACTTGACAAAGCACCAAATGTCACTGTGTTATTTGATCAGAACTATAATTTCACAAGGCAGGTGGGACAGAGATCGGTCTCATCTGGGGAAAGCTGAGGTCAAAGAGTTTGGAAGACATACATAAGGCCACACAGACTTCTGGATCCTACTCTCAAAGCTAGGACCCTCCCTTCCATACTTTTACCACCTCCCACTTTACAGATAGCTAAGTACATTTTTTCAGGGTTAGCTCAGTTTTAGAGGATGCTATTTTTCTCATCTTGCCTCCAAAGTCTGAAGTAACTTGTAAGTGTCCATTAAAGTCAACACAGGGCAGAAAGCCAAGAGGGTCATTGCCACTTCTGAAGGGGTGGCTCAGAGCCATAGACCATTAGAAAACAGAAGGAACCATCCAGTGAGGCTGAACAGGCCTGGAGCTCTCAACTTCACCTGGGACAGTGGGCTGTGGGCTAGATGGGGATGAAAGAAGCTTGAGGTGAGTCAGCTAGTGAAGGGTGAGGCAGGATGGATCCTGTCACATCACACAAGTCTAGACCTGGCCAGGAAAAGGATACCAGAGGACTAGGATTCTAGTGTCATGTAGTCAACAAACTTACTGAACTTCTCCACTCCAGTCACTGCAGGGCCTGGGGCTCCCTATCACTGGGGCCTTCTCATCCCATACCTGATACTTTGTAGTGACTGTTAATGTTAGTTGGAAGGGTGCCTGAGCCAACCCCATTCCCTTTACCATTGCCTTTGTACTGGGAGACTTTATCAGGGTTAAGAAAACAGCTGGGGATCAAGCAGCCATCCCCTAGGCTCTTCTGTGTCCATGACAGATGTTCTATGGAGAGCATCTACAGCAACAGCGAACTCTAGCTTCAGAGTAACTGATGACTTGTGTGGTGTAGAAAGCACATTCAAAGGTGTTATCCCATTTAATTTTCAAAGCAACCCTGTGGCATGTTCTCATTTTAGAGATGATAAAACTCAAATTCAAACAGGCTGGGTCACTTTTCCAGATTTATAGATCTTACAAGAATTGGAATTTCACTTTGGGTCTCCTATCTTCCAGTTCATTGATGTTTTCACCACTTCTTAGTGGCCTCTAAGAATTCAGAAGGAACCAAATTGACTCTTAATTTTAATTCTTTTTTAACTATACTTGTAATAAGTGAATACACTTTGTTGTTTAGAAATTCAAGTGTCCAAAGGCTGACGTTTCCCTTCCTAGCCCCACCCCTATCCAACCCAATCTGTCTAGGCTACTTCTGTTGACAGTTGGGGGACACTCTTACTGAGCTTTGCAGCTACAAGTACATGTACTTAAGATATCATTTGTCAGGGCTGGAGAGATGACTCAGTGGTCAAGAGTACTGGCTGCTCTTGAAGAGGACCTGGGTCCCAGCACCCATATGGCAGCTAACAACTGCCGGTAACTCCAGTCAGGGGAACTTTCACCCTCTTCTGAACTCCATGAGCACTGCATAACATGGGTGCACTTACATACATACAGGCAATATACTCATATATATATAATAAAAATAATAAAAATAATAAATATTTTTAAAAGATATCATTTATTTTTGTGACATAGAAACTTTCT